TACACACTTTTCGACTTAAGTGTAACACATGCACAACTTAGCGAAAAGTAGCACTCGCTGCTCCCTGACTGACAGCACTCTCCACCAATGTCTTAGGATTGCATTGACATATGAGCCAAAAATCACTGCTCTTGTTTAAAACAAAAAATGTCCCTTCTCCCATTGAGAAAGTCAGCGATGACAAATCACAAATGAGGTGATAGTAAGCACCTAGTTTACTATAGTAGACGTGTAGTGTAGTATTCATTCATATAGTTACCCGTATCCCTTGTTATGGGTTTGTGCACTGAAGGGTTTGACAGTTATTTCTGTATTCATTTAAATGCACTTTGTATGTGTCTGGGTCAAATGTGACCAAAACGTATGATTTTTTTGTTATCACTTGAGTGAAAAAATAGTATTGCTACAGTACTACCTCTTTGTGTTGCATTGGAGCTCTTTAGCTTTTTTTTGTTGTATGTGAGGACATTTATTAAGACTGCTATTATTGTATTCAGTAAATGCACTTTGTGATGTGCCTGGTTAAAAAAAAATAACCTGAATATTTGACTTCTAAAGCAAACAAATGTAATGCTACAACTGTGCACTTTTTTCCAGATTCTGTTAAATGAATGCTAATTTGTTGTTTTTATGCACTTTTTGACGTACCTTTGTTACAGTAGATGAATAATGAATAAAAATTGCATGTTTTTCATCGCAGTAATATGTGTTGGTTTAAAATGTGTCACTACCCGCTTTTTACAGGCCGCTGAATGTCTGGCCCAGCTGAATTTTGTAGTTATAAAATCTGAACCGACTGAATGTGTAATTGAATAGTCCTGCTCTAGAGTCTAACCGCGATGAGAAAAATCAAATCAGTGTTCCAAAATCCGTCACTAGATGTCACTCATTGTACCAATATGGTTTATATAATACACAACATATTATTATTATTATTATTATTATTATTATTATAGTAAAAGGGCTCGCTTTGGCAAAAACCTGATCCAAACAGGCAGCCCTAAATAATAACAAGTAACCATCATGTGTGGTGCTATGCCTAGTGCTATCTGTAGTTGTCTGTCCTATTTGTTGTTGATTTCATATTGTTTTTACAGAGCTGTGAAAATGACTGTCTCCCTGGGGACAATACATCTATACTAATTTAATATTCAATCCCACACATGACGATTGAGAACATAAATTCGTAACTTACCTCGTTTAAAGCACTTTTGTTGTAATACTACGGATTTAGTTGACACTACTAGCTTAGTTTCTTTTGTCCTCTCGCGGGCAGGACATTGAATTAGAAGTAGAAGAAGAAGAGGTAGGTAGAAGAAGAAGTAGTAGAAGAAGAAATACGCTACAAAAGACACAACACTCACTCTGTTTTTACTGACGACATGTAACATTTTATTTCACCTTGCTCTGTTTTTTAACACACGTTCAAAAACTGTAACATTTTCGGGAGTTTCAACCGGGTACCGGCCACCAAAAACGTGGACTTTGCCCGGAAAACGGGGACGGTTTGGTCACCCATCCGACTGTGTTTACAGCTAAGCACACACGCTAACATTAAGACTACAAGCTCACTTGTGGTAGAGGCTTTTTTACACGTTGCTTGACTGCCTGCCCACATATCTGATCCAAACATAGTAACGTGTATTGGGGAAGATAATTATTTAAAGGTATTATTTAATAATTGTGACATTTATTGTACTTTTTGATGGATGAATGATGCTCAAGGTGAGGGGGCAAAGAATACAACTGAGGGGGCAATACCCATTTTGCCCCCTCGTGGCGCCGGGCCCGCCTCCCACCCATTGTTTTACAACGTCTTATGAGTAATGTGCAGTCCAACAGAGAGGCAGCAGCTGCGGGTCAGTAGACTGCGTACTGCGTAACCTTCCCTGCCTTGAAGAAGAACTGATCCTTCGTTGTGAAGAGTCTGGTTAATGCGCTCCGCCCCACAGCAGTAGCCCAGCTCCGACTGGACAGAGTCCAACAGAGAGGCAGCAGCTGCGGGACAGCAGCCTAGAAGCAGTGTTGGGTTGTAACGGAATACATGTAACGGCGTTACGTAATCAGAATACAACAATATGCTAACTGTATTCAGCTGGCATTACATTTGAAAAACGAGTAATCTAATTACAGTTACTTTCGTAAACCTGAAGTGAATACATTTTGGAATACTTATTGGAATCATTGGTGGAAAAGTTTCCTCACAAAATGTAATATTCATTACCGGCAGAACTGTGCACACTGCACAGCGCTGCAGCATGTCTGACCGAGCGTGTCTGTGAGGCCCCGCCCCCGCACGCAGATGAGAGAGAGTGATCTCTTTTAAAATATATTGAAAGTTAGAAACGGAGATGGTTAGATAAAATGTGCAAGATAACGTTTATGTAGCATTTCTTTATTGTCGAAATGATGACATTTCATAACGGGATCAAATCAAAGTGAATGGCCTGCTGCTGCTGAATGCATGGGGAAAGTGACTGGAAAAAGTTTTAAAAGTTATTACATGGTTTCAGATAATAAATAATAATGATAATTCAAGCTATTTAGGGGCACCTTTCAAAGCACCCAAGGACACCTTACAATTCATAACATATTCCAAGGAAAGGTTTTAAGACAGGACAAAGAATGCAGTCCGGGTGATGTTTTTTATGTGGGGTGCAGATGAGAGAGCTGTTCACCAAAACATACCCATCTGTTATGGAAAAAGAAAGTATTCCAAAAGTATTCTAAAAGTAATACGGTACATTTTTAAGTCACGTAACGGTAACTGTATTCTGATTACTTTCAGAGCATGTATTCAGTATTCAGTAACTGATTACGTTTACAAAGTAACCCTCCCAACCCTGCCTAGAAGTGATCCTTCGTTAGCGTGAAGAGGCTGCTAAGCTTCATGCGGTCCGCAGTACCTGAGCGTGCTCCACTAGCACGATTTTTTGCTTTTGGTGCATTTTGTGGCAGAAGTACAGCGCCTATTACAGGCCCGGCATATGTACTACAGCGTCTCCAGCGGTTCGAGCGGTCTCGCGTGGACGGACACGTTTCTGGTGCGTATTGCGTGTGGACGGAAGACTTTTTTGATAACGATTTCGGTGCGTTTCCGAACTTTCCGTTATCATCCTTGTGTGGCTGCAGCCTAAATGTCGTATAGCACCTTTAACAAAAGTTAAATATAATGCGTGCATATGCCCTGTGAATCAGATCTGCTCCAAAACGGCTTCTGAACTATCCCTTGCTACACCTTTCCTCCGAGTTTTATGAAAATGGGGCATTTACAAAAACTGAACCATAACCTCTTTAGCGAAGGTCATTACTGCCTTATTGCTGAATATTGCACCAATAAAGTCCCGACTCTACAGACATGGTGTGTTGAGAGTTTAAGGGCGATCCCTGCAGTACAGCAGGCTTTTATTCATAGGTAGTTCACAAGGAACAAAACGGCTTAGGCAAGCAGTTTTGCTTAACAGACTATTTTACAGTTTCAAAGTTGATAAATTGCATGAGCACCTCTCCCTAATTGTCTACAGCAAAGATGTCAACGTTGAATAGAATGTTAAACGATAATTGGACAGGTTGGGGTTTAGCTGAATTTAATGAAAGCTGCTTTTAGAATATTACATAATATCCTTCTTGGTGGAGTGAATGACGGTCTGTTCTACTGTGCTTCATTCAGACTGTTTTTATGATTGCAGGTTTGAAGTGCTGTGTTTCCTCATGCTCTGCTACAACTCTGCTGTGGTGTACATGCCTCTGTCCTCCTACCAGTCTGTCTGCAGAATGAGCTCACGGTGAGGAAAACTCATGTAAAACGAATGTGGAATGTTTTCTGGTCTTTTATTGTCCAACGTTTTGTCCTTTCTTTACCCTATGAGTGACCACCTGCTCCTCTCCTACCTCCATTACATGCTCTACTGAATCTAGCATTAAATAATGTCCTCTACCCTGTAGCCATACTCTGACCTTGATACAGACGGCCCTGGTTGCAGGAGGATCTGATAAGTACTATTTCCTAAAGGCTCAGTTGTCTGCGGATGAAAGCATCGCTGCAGGATACCTGTTCATCTGGGAAACACAGCGATGCCCTGGAGTGAGGAGAAAGGCTTAATGAGGAATTCACAATGTGAGGCTGTGTAGTGCAGCCGCCGCCCTGTGGTCGCTGCACCGCAGCTCGCAGGCGCTCCAGGATTTGAAGACTTCCCTACTGGGAGGCGGACAACGCCTGAAGGAAGCTCGGTCTAGACAGACGGCAAACTGAGACTGTGAACACTTCAAAGCACCAGAACAATGCTCAGTGTCTGAATCTAGACCCCAAACATCCCGCCGTCTCACCTTGTCTGACCTCTACAAGTGGAGAGTACATTTCCCCCCCCTTGCTGTTTGTGTGGTTTTCTAAAGTGAATGATGTTTTGTTAAGATCTTTTTCCAACCTAATGTCATCATTCTTGAAAAATACAATAACGTATCAAATTTGAATTACATTTGGACTTCACCTTAATGAAAATGTAATAATAATGATGTTATATCTTGACCAGTGATGCAATCCAATGTCCTGACTGCTATTATACAATTAGTTTTACCAATAATGTAATGGGTCTTTTTTTTTTTCCAGAACTGATGCATCATTTTTTATCAACCTAATGTACTATTTAAAAAAACATTTCAAAGACACTGCTATATATTGCAGTCAAAAATAATACTTTTTAAAGTTATTACATTATTCCTCAATATCATTACAGTGTTTCCCCTAGGTTTACTGCCTTGGCAGGGTACTGCTTGGGTACCCCGAACATTTTTTATCCTCTGGAGCAGAGAGAGGAGCTGTGGATTATTGTTATTGATATCGTACAGTAACAAAGTATTTGTACATTAAAAAGTAATAAAGTACAGTGTTACACTGTACTTTATTACTTTAATTCAAACTGTATTCCCTTCTTATCATGTAGCCTACACTTCTTCCTTTCATTGATACATTTAAATCACCTGACTACAGCATATAACATACCTGCTGCAACCCTGCTGCTGCTGCTGCTTCTCTCTGCCTCATCCTCTATTGCTGGAGGCAGCTCCACCTCATCTGATCTCTGATATGAAAGCAATCGTGTTATGATCATATTGAGCTATTGGTGTGAGTCTAACATTAAACAAGCAGTCTGCTTGTCATACATTGCTGACGATACATTTTAAGTGGCAATTTGTTGAGTCACTGCCGCTAAATGCCGGTAGCATCAAGCTAGCAAATCCTGCATTAGCCTCACATCAACAGGTGTAGACAGAACATCCAATTATCCTGAGCTAATTTACTGAATAAAACAACTCACATCTCCTGTCTTTTTTTTCACCCAACTCATTAGTACAGTGGCTGAGAGGTGCAATCGACAATTACAAAGTGTGAAACACTTTAACAAAGCTTGAGACAAATTTACATTTTATAAAACACATTTACATTTTATAAAACAAATTTACATTTTATAAAATACATTTACATTTTATAAAACACATTTACATTTTATAAAACAAAATTACATTAGCAAAACACTTTTACCAAAGAAAAAACTATTTAACATTAACAAAAACAAATTAACAAGATACGAAACACTTTTACAAAGCTAGAGACAAATTTACAAGTGTCGAAAATACGCAAGGCAGTGGACACTGAAACATGCACATTGGATAAATAACATAGGCGTTTAGTTTATTTAATAAAAGAGCACATGTTCAATGTGAAACGTGACCGTAGATAGATCACTTCAGTTGCAATTTGGTGCTATATATTTTTAAATAATAAAAAAAAAAAAAAAACACCTTGAATTTCATGCAGGGCGCGGGGCTCCGTTGGCAGGGCGCAGCGCCCCGCCAAGACAATGGTAGGGGAAACACTGCCTTATATCAGAAGCTTTAAGTAAAAGATCCACCTTGTAGGCAATACATTATTGTTAAAAATATTTTATTAGATTATCAGTAAGGACATGTTTCTTCATTCTTAAATTATAATATAAAATGACATTTCATTACAGTTTTTGAAAATATTACATTATTTGTTGCTACAGTTGTTTTCCTCAAGGCTCATCTTTACTCATCTTACTAACGTGACTTTGTTTGTTTGTTTACTCCTCAGGCTGTGTGTGTGTGGGTTTCCCCGGCAACAGAAGAAGCTTTGGAGGGAACCGTGCAACCGTGTGCTGCTCGACCCGGAGTTCATGGTGCAGATGCTGACCGCCGTTTATCACGCCATGTATGTATCTCAAGCTGCTCTCAAATTTCCGATAGTTTCCTACTTGTTAGCAAACAGCTACTCATTTTAGATCAGTTTGTTCTCTACCAACTCTTGAGGGAAATATGTGATAAATAGCTGCCAAATGCTCTGCTGTGGTTGGTTGCTAGGTGCTTACTGCGTCTGTCTTCCCTTTTGACTATCTATCCCCGAGCGGATAGTTTACAGGGGATTTGTTTAATATCTAATAATAATAAAAAAAGATGCTGCTGCCAAAAAGGAACAGAGAGTGAAGCAAGGTAATGAAGTTTCACCTGACAGCAAAACAATGAACGGAAAGTCGCTAAAAATGTAAAGCTGTGGGGGGGTGATGATTCTCTGTAAGTTCACCACTACGAGCGACCCCTTTCTGATCGTCACATTGTTTCCACTCTGTCATTTGATACAATGTTATTTAAAAAATCAATTAGAGCTGTACAATTGGCTTTCATCCCTGCCGTTTTTTCATCACCACTCTTTCTGGGAAGATCATGGAGGACATTAAATAAAAGATCAAACGCAATAGGGAGAGTGATAATCTCTCGTTTGTTGCGCACATTAACAGATATCATCACCTAAAGGAGTTCCTTTATGAGCTACATAACACACTGTTTCTCATTTCTGTGGCTCTGCGGGACATCACTAATGAGGGCAGTCTCTGCTAGTATTCCGCGATCCTCTGCAGAAAATCTCCTAACAGTGTACTCCACCAAGGACTGAAGCTCCCCGCTGTACGGACTGATTCCATCGGCAGTGCATTGTGGGAGCAGGTGATTTCATCCCCTATGAGGACAATTGTTGCAAAGCTGATTACGGCCTCACGTTGAAAGCTCGTCCTCGAGATGGATCCCCTGATACGAGAGTAAATGGAATCACCACGGTTAAGGATTGTGAAGAAGGAGAGGGTGGAGGGAATGAGTATGCCTGCTACCTCATCGCTCCCATGAGGGTGCAATGCAGCAATCAGGAGATTGAAGCAGTCAGTTCTGCTGGAAAAAGAAGTGTGTGGGTGTAAGAATAGTAGCCTTTTTAGTAATCCCTGCCATAGGTCACCCTCAGTGCCAGCCTGAAGTCTCACATTCACCTTGAGCTCTAGCAGGTGCATGTGAATGGCAGATAAATACAAATCCATAGAGGACACTCTGGGATTTAGGTTAATAAGTCTGCTAATGCTACAGTGTATAATACCACATAAGGAGAACAAGAGGAAAGGACGCAGGGATATCAGAACAAATAGACACATGCCAGATTGTCGTTTTTGAAGGTTTGAAATGTATTCCGGACAGATTTTCCATCCTTACAACATCACAGTCTGTTTTAACCTGCCCATTCACAGCTTCCCCTTCATCTCAAGTGTAAAGAGACGCTCACGCATTTGTCCCCGCCTGTGTGGATCAAAGGGAGTTCAGCCGTGCAGTTTTTTTGTAAATGTTTAATGTATTTATTTCCTGCTGCTTTTCCTTTTATTAATCTCGTTCAACTGCACGGTTGTGAAATCACCTTATGCAAAGCTATCAAGATTCATTCTAAAACATTGAAACCACTCCTCCAGTTCCATGCATCCTTTATGCGCACTATTTCCATATCAGCTCATCACATTGACCCCACACAAATTACCAGGGTGGAGTTTTAAAAAACGGCCAGGGAATGGTAATTTAATGGTTAAACAGACAATAGTGTGACAGACGTACTGGATAGCTTCTCCTTCCCTCCCTCACTCAGGCTGCAGGCATTACTTTAAAACTAATAATAGTTCACAAGGATGTGACTCAGACATCAAGGCATTTCATCAGGCGCTCCTGTTTACGCAAATAGGCTCGCAACATGACGTTAAATGATTTTGTGTTTTGTGATGTGTAGATATAATGGAGAGTGGGAGATGGGCCGGGAAGCTCTGGAGGACGTTCTCTACCGAGCCCAGCTGGAGCTTTACTCCCAGCCTCTGTTGGTAAGAGCACCAGCACTGTGTGTCTGTGGAGTCAATCACTTATATAACTCGACACTATAGTCTAATGATGCTTTTGATCTGCCAAACTTTACACAAATCAGCATAGACGTTTTTAATGTATATACTGTAGTACACTATGTTAATATGTTTCTGACCCCTAGTTGATTTGTATATTAGAGAGTATTCTCATTTATGCTGTACATTTTGCAGTGTGTATTATTGGTCTGAATATATGTATTTTATTTTATTTCTTTTTTCTAAACTTTGTTTTTATTGTTTTTCGTTTTTGTTACAATAATGAACAGACAAACAATATGAAAGCAGACAGGGTCATCCTGGGTAAAAAGAAATGCTTATTCGTATTTTATTCAATTTTTAAGAAATATAGTAATTCTAATTGCTGCTTTGACAAAATAATTTCGCAACTTGGGATAAATAAAGTATATATCTTTCTCTGTCTATCTATCATAAATCAGCAAAGTCGGGCTCATAATGACGCTTTCAATCTTGTCTTACTTTTTTTGTTTCTGTGTACGTGTCATCTCCAGCTGGCGAACGCCATGAAGAACTCGCTGCCAGACAGCGCTCCCGATGAGCCACGGGGGCGCAAGGTGCTCCAGGTGGAGGTGACACCCACCATCAACCGCATCTCCATGTCAGCCATCACCACCGCCTCCATACGACGCCACCGCTGGAAGAGAGAGGGTAAGACCTGCCGTCATGGCTGCAGCCAACAGAGAGGTGGAGCAGGAGGGCTCTCAGTAGATGTGACAGCACAGTAGTCCATTACAATACCTCTTTTTCTAGTGGCCTCATTATTGATTTAGCTCAGTTGGAGTTATGTTATGCAAGGAAAAGGAGCAGTGTTCTTAGGATTTAAGATGTAACTTACAAACGTTTCCCCCCGATCAGTGGAATGCCACATGAGAGAACTATTTGGTGAGAGAATAACTTTCCTCCTGTTTGTCCATAGCAGTGGGAAGGAATTCTGTTTCTGTGTAAAAAACAATCACACCATGAGCATCGTCGAAATGGTTTGATGTCAGTATGTAATTGTTGTTATGTAGCCTCTCTGTGTTAAAGTGCTTCTGCCGCTCACTGCTCTTATTTTGCTCGTCTTGTCTATCAAGTGTGTGCTGTGCATTGTGTCACCAGTTAAATTTGAGGTGTGCCGTTTATGAGAAACACCCGACAAAATGGTGCCTGTGTAGATCCTACTGACTCCATTTTAACCTGGGTGATAAATGGGGCAGTTCATTTATTTAAAACTATCAATTTGTAATCTATGAACCAATTTACAGACAGCTGTTAGACCCGCTGTGCCCAGCATGAGGCCCAAATCAGCCGAGCCTCTCCGCCACTAAAGAAACACGTTTCCCCGTCTGTGTTGTTGACTCCCAGATTGTTTTGACGACTCAACCGCTGCAGAGTTGAGCCACATCGTCAATCCTCCTAGCTACAACAAGCACCACCACCGGCATCAGCATCAGCACACTCCCCGGGACCCCGCAACCAAAGAGGAGAGAGAAGGGCGGCCTCACAGCCACCACAGCAACAGCAGCAGCAGCGGCATCATTCCCCCCATCACATTTGAGGGTAGGGGACAGGGGCAGACGCTCAGAGCAGAGAGGGTCTCAGGAGGAGGTGCCGCTTCGATCTGTATCTCCCCAACCCTCCTCCTGCTCCTTCCTCTCCTCCTCCATCAAATTGAGGGAGTTAACCTCTGCCGTACCCATATTGGCCGCCTCTTCACTTCCCCAGAGTATACTAACTCATCCAGTCTAAAAGACTCTCTGCCAACAACCCCTCTACTACTAGACCACTGCTATTTTTAGTCTAATCCAAGAATGGAAGAGTCGCTTATTCTGGGTTTGAAGGAAGTGTGGCCATTTTGCATGGGCCTGCCATCATGTCATACCTGCTCTTTTTCCTCGTCATGCCTCCAACATACTTCCGACTGCTGCCCTTGTCACTCACTGAGCATGATCAGTGCCCGGCCTGCTGCTTGCCTTATTACTCTGAGCTTTTTCAACCCTCCTTGCCTGATAATTTGTTAGTATTAACAGGGAAAATACACAGATTTTACAAAACTGGCACAGAGGAACTGGCATCTTGTGTAGTGCCATCGCGCGTTGGGTCAATCAGGCCAGCAGCAACCGTCTGCTGCATCCATTCTGCAGTATTTCAGTTCAGCAGCTTTTATTGTATGCTAACTTTTTTGTCCTTCCATGTTTGTTTTCTTCAGCTCAGTGAGTGGGAAGGAACACTTCATCATGCATGGGCACGCTACGGCAAGCTTTGAAAAATGTAACCCTGAAACACTAACATTTCAAATGACAAGGCCAAGAGAGCAGACTGAATATCGTCAAGGTTAACAAATCCAATAGTTTTAACAAAAGCTACTTCACTGCCAGAACCCGTCAGTCTTATGGCCCATTTTGTCATGTTGAATGTGTGTCCATTTCTCTGTGTGGGTGCTCTATGTTTTAATCTTGATCACTGAGTGTCTGTGTGCAATTACTGGACATTCTGTTGCAAATAGTAATACCAACCTTAACACGTTTATTTTGGATGGGGCTGCATTGCAATGATATTAGAAATTACCAAACTAATGGATTTGCATGTTTAATCCTATTGACTACAAATGTAATTAGCATCACAACCTTTCTCCATGATGTACCAGACTTTCTTTGATTATAAGTACTTTAGAAATCTCCCTGGGGAAAATGTAATTAATTTTACTTCCTTCTTTGAAGCCATCAATCAATCAAACTAAAGTTAGCAATGGAGTGCCACAGGGCTCAGTGCTTGGACCTATTTTGTTAAAATGTATATGCTTCCGTTAGGCTGTAATATAAAAAATCACCGTGTACATTTTCATTGTTATGCGTATGATACTCAATTATATTTATCTATCAAGCCTGATGAAAATAAATCTAAATATTTTATGTTTAGTTGGGTTGATTGCCTGACACGTTTTGATTGCCAAAAAGATTTAGTGCAATATATTTAATGTTTTTTTTGTGTCCATGATGATAAATGCTTTTTAACTTACTTACCAGATGCTCAAAAGATCCTAGTAGCGCTCGACTACTTGGACCTTTTTTATTTTAAAACTCAAATCAGCCTTTCATATTTATAAAAGTAGGCACAGTTATTTGGCAGTCAGCTCCATACGTTAACATTTATTTGAATGCACCATCAAGGAAGAATTTTTAAATGCCTCACAAGTCCATTGGCACACTTAAAAATGATACATTAAAACATGAAGGCAAATACATATTTACTGCAGGTGATTATAAACCTTAAACACATCACATACTGAATTGATTGGCGACTAATAACAAGCACATGAATGTGTTGCGCAAACAAAAGACACATTTTAGTTAAAATGCCTAAACATGCAAATTGACAGGTATGTTTTAGCTCTTCATCTAGCATTGGGTTGACTAGTAACGGCCTGCAGGCTGGTCCATTCAGCCCTGTGGCCTGTCAGCTCTAACCGGAGTGCTATTGATCTGATGAGGTGTGCGACTCGCCTCGGTGCTCTCCACAGATTGGCAGGCTCGCCTCCCTCTGACCGCTGGGCCCGTGCTGCAGGAGGAACGAGGGAGAGCATGTGTCTTCTCCTTATGTTATGTGCATGTCAGTCCAGACCTTTTTCTTCTCTGTTTCTCTATTTCTCTTCCGGTGCTGCCTGTGATTCCCTGTGGTCTAATTTTGCTTGTCACAACGATGCATGACGGAGACAGACGGCTGATCCTGTGTCTTAACAGGCTTTACCCTGCATATTGTATGTCAATAATGTGCCTTTTTTCTAACTCAATTTATCATCTTTTTCCATTTTCAGCTTTCAAACAATGCTGGACTATTAACGTTGTTCTGTTTAGATGCTTTTATAACAATATTGTGCCTTTTGTATCAGTTATCTCCAGAGATCATTCTTATTTTATACTGAACATAACGTGTTATGCTAGACTTATCGGGCAGGTTGTTGAGCTCCCACCTTTCCTAAACAAACAGCTGGTCAGATTTAAGTCGATCTGAATTACATCAGATGATCAAAGCTGAAGGTCATTGTGTAGCGTATTGAGCCGTGTGGTGAATGATCCCTCATTATGCACCAGCTAATGAAGCAGCATTGTCTGTTGAGTGTTGGCCTGCTAAAGGCTATTCATTTATTCTGCACTGAATATAAAATCTCTTAACATTGTAAGTAGGGCTGCACGATATTGGAAAAAAATGACATTGCGATTTCCCCCCCCTGCGATATGAAAACATACAGGAATTGAAGAAAAGACCGTTTTTTTTCCGCAAACCATCCTTTCTTGAACTTTAATGCTATACAATTGGTATTTTTGAAATTATATTTAACCGGATGAAGGATTTAAGTCACTGACGTCTGGATCTTAAGTTATCAGAGCAACAAGCTGAGCTTGCTCGGTTAGCAGCGCCGAACTGCCTGGAGAAACACATGAAACTACTTTATTCAGTGTTTTTACCTTTAATCACCGGGTCCGTGTGCTTTGGAGATTTGATTGTGATTGGTGGTTTGCTGTGCATGCAGAGCCTGCATGTCACTCACTCAAGTACCCCTGACATGAGAGCTGCGCAAGTTTTCCTTTTGTAGCAAGCAGCAAAATAATTGTAACATGACATGTTTGAGTTAATTTGCATACTTAATAACGTCCTAAAAAAAAATCCTGCATTGTGAATGTCGCGATTATCATCACGACACGATATATCGTGCAGCCCTAATTGTAAGGCTTGTTGCATAGATTAAGCGCAGTTCGTTGCAGGCAATTTTACATCACTTTTAACTAATATCATCAGTTATGGAGCTTTCTATGGATTAAGGTGACATTTTGTCTATATTCTGAATTATAGCACTAGAGTAAAACATGTCTTAAGTGTTTTGCCTGTTGCTTGCAGAAGCTGTGTCAATACTTATTTCTCCTTTTTTTTTTTTTGACTTTGTGCCACAGACTTTAGGGCAATAGGATTTAAAGTTTTGTTCACACTCAGATTTAACTTGTCACCATGACTCTAGTCCTTGCTCACTTTTCTGTCTGTCTATCATGCTTTATTTCTGTCTGTGTTCGTGCGTGTTCATGTGCAGATGCTGATGGATTGAGCGGCGGGGAAGATTCCTTCAATGTCAACGACCCAGACGAGGGTTTCTCCTCCGGAGCGTCCAACAGCAGCCAGCCCAGCGGCACCAAGGCGGGCGTCGGGCAGAGGGGGGGCAGCCTGAACAGCAGCAGCAGCAGCAGCATCAAGAAAGCCATCACGGCCCGGCTGTCCCGGGACAAGGAGAGGGAGCGTGAGAAGGAACGGGAGAAGGAGCGTGAGAAGGAACGGGAGAGGGAGCGAGAGAGGGAGGCAGAGAGGGAGCGAGAGAGGGAGGCAGAAAAACAGGCAGAGTTGTCAGCGGATCACCAGGCTGCCGTGCTGAGGCACGAACAGAGGCAGCCGTCGCCCCCAGCCAGCATCCAATTGGATGCCATCCAGCTGAGCCCCAGAAAGAAACACCTGAGCTTCCCAGCAGGGCCCACGCTGGTTCGGACTGGCAGCACCTCCTCCAGCAAGTCCTTTGACTGCATGAATTTCAACCTGAACGGAGGCGATGACGAGCGAGAGGAGGCGGCGGGGGGTTCTGACAGAGAGCGAGGGCTTCCAGAGGGCGGCGCCCACCGCCACTCCACCATCAGCCTGAAGGAGGAGCACCTCGTCAGGCCAGAGGACGCCCAGGACCTCCTGTCCACTGGAGCTCCTCTCACCAAGCAGTCCCGCTCCCCCAGTTTCAACATGCAGATCATATCACAGGTCTAACATGTAGTGCAGGGCATGGTATGCGCGCGCGCGCACACACACACACACACACACACACACACACACCACACACACACACACACACACACACACACACACACACACGCACATGTGCACACACACACACACACACACACACACACACACACACACACACACACACACACACACACACACACACACATGCTCACACACACACACACACACACACACACACACACACACACACACACACACGTGCACACACACACACACACACACACACACACACACACACACACACACACACACACACACACACACACACACACACACACACAATACCTGCTCATAACACTCATCCTCATGCAGTTTTTCTCTGCAACTCTTTCCAACCCTACTGTGACAACTTGTGTGTGTGTGTGTGTGTGTGTGTGTGTGTGTGTGTGTGTGTGTGTGTGTGTGTGTGTGTGTGTGTGTGTTCAAGATTTGTGTCTCCACCTCCATTACAACTGTGACCTGCTGTTGGTGGGTTTAGCGTGACTGAAAATGCAACAATAGAAAAGTAGTAAACGTTGACTGCTGTAACTACAGTCCAGCATGTCACTGCATCCTCCCGTCTGACCAATCATTCCACACAGAAACTCCCAGAAACCAGGAAACGAGAGAAAACACGCTAAGGATGCCAAGCTAGCTGTAGAAGATAAATATGGAAATCAGATTATTTTTGAGTTTCTGACTGAATCAGACAAAAATGAATCAGCAATAACACTTAGAGTCGCTCATGTGGAGAAGAGTGATTAGTGCTCTTTCTCTTCATTCCTTCCCTTTCATTCCCGGGCTCACGTGCAATCGTTCTTGCTGATTATCTTCCTTGTTAAATGCTTTTCTGTTTTTTTTATAAATAATAAGGCATAAATGGTTTTATTGATTAAAAATCCTTTTAAAATGTTTTTCTTTTAAATCACAATCCAAAGAAGAAAGCATTTGTTTGCTTTTGTTTGACAATGATTTGATGGAAATCAGTCAGACCCAAGTGATTCTCCAGTTTTCATCCCATGTAGTTCCTTTTTAATTTGTAATTAGAATATTCTCATTTTACCTTTTTTGTTATAACCAAAAACTGGAAAGTGGTAAAGGTTTGTCTTGCCCCAGGCTTTTAACTCAAATCTTAAGAAACACTACTGTGCAGCTACAAGAGGAAAGCAACTTGTGACTTAAATTGATAATCAGAGGCTGAATCTTGTGGAAGAACTGGATGAAAACGTTGTGCAGTGACAGTGCAGGTTTGAGACTGAAGCTAAGAGACACCGGCTGTATTTAATATGGGATTATTATGATGGTCCAAACCATTTAATGGGTCGTTCCATTTCAAAGCTCTTGTAGGTGTTTGGCCTGTGTGTGGTGTCTCGGTGACGTACTGCCCTCTTGAGGCTTGCACGAGTCGCTGCGCATCATCAGCAGTCACCATGACGATTACGTTTTGTGCTCTGATTGGATGCTCATGAAACATTTTGTTCTACCTCATTGTGTGTTCACCCTGCCACCAGACACCTGTCTCCCAATCAGATGAAAAGGTTTGAACTTTTAGGTTGGAGTAAATAGTGGGGAGCAAACTGTCTCACACTGAAAAAAGACACTGTCAAATCTTTGTCCATGTAAGGAGCCGTGGAAATCTCAGCTTTGCATTTCAGTTCGGTCGCACCATGCACATCACGTAGCTGCAAAACACAACTGTCTTCAGGTTTTCTGTTATATATCAAACACCCACATCAGGAATAACCTGATTATTTGAATTCCCTAGAAATGTCCTCCTTTTTCAATTGTTTTAATGTAAAAGTGCACTTTTTTGAATCCTCATGTGCATGGAGTTGGATCTTCTCTGCTGTTAAATGCCTGCATCTGCGCACAGTGCTAGCTAGCCTTCTGTAGTGCTCCCTGCCAGGCTGAGTGATTTGAACACGGCGTGCTTGTCTGCATGTTTAGTGCCCTGCAAAGCACTGCTGTTTCAGATGCAAGAAACAGCCAGCGAGCCAAACCCAAGTCTTGTCCCTGTCTTTGCCAGATGTGCCAATACACATCCTCTCCTTAAGGAAATTATGCTTTGCTTGTCTTAATTTAAAAACTATTGCCTATTCTTTTATTGTTTACTTGTGCTATTTCAAAGTTTATGGACTAAAAAAAGGGTGTTTGGCTCAACATGCCCTGAGATGCAGCTTCACCTTTTTTGCCATGGGTTTCCTCTTCACTCATCAAAGGTGTGTGCGTCACACTGCACTCTCACTGTCATCACTATTTGCTGTTCACATGTAAAAGCAGTATATTATGCGTCTGTGTGCCGTAGATGTCAGCCGTAGATGTCAGCTGTTGTATTGCATTTTTCCCCATGTCTTGCGCACGTGCTTGTTTAAAATGAGGATGAATGATTAATGTATATAAAAGTCAGTTCAGTCTGCAGTGAAAAACCCCACACACTCATGCTTCCGCTGTGCTGGAAAACCTCCACAGCTGCTGCTCCTAGTCCAGAGTGAGTCTTGTGTGCGCTTTAGCCTTATACATTTCAGGCCAAAGAGCCTCGATGGTGGGCTCTTTGACCTCACATGCTCCTCCTGTGGACTGTGGAGGATGAAGAGAGGAGTTCAGCTACAGTTCACACTCCCCCGGTCTGTCTGCTGTCATCCCTGTGCTGTGAGGCTCTCAACAAGCCGTGTTCCCATTTGCTGTATTTTGCCGTGAGTTGAGTGGCACCTTTTTTGCTGTTTTTAAAACTGGTGACGTGGTCATGTCATTAATGAGTGCCCCTTACCGAGGTTACCAGCAGCAATGTTGGTACTGTTTGTCGATTTACTGTAGAGTTACGGATAGATGAATATCCTTATGTTTCTGGTGTTATTTGCATGTGATCAGGTCAGGAAATGAACACTAGCTGATGAATATTAATACAACTTGACTGAGGCTGGACATTTTATTCATTTTGGTTGAATAATAACCCCAGAAAGGTCCACTTACATTTCAAAAAAAGTCTTAAAAGGTTCAGTCTGTCCTTGTCAGCCACTGTGAAGAGAGTTCATTTCCTGCCCTGCATATGATAACTGTGGGCTTTGTTTTCATAAAGTTTAATGCACTTTAATCCATCCACCTCTCTCCTCAGATAGTTATTGAAATGATATATATAGATGTGCAAAATGTGTATACACTCAATGCAGGGTTTTAGTCTCTTTAAAGTAGTACTTCTATGTGATGTCACATTCAACACAATGCTATTTTTGTTAGAGTCTAAGGGTACAGCTATTTATTATTGTTTCTTTTCAAAACCAAAAAAAATGTAACGGGGGTCTGGAAGGTCTCAGGAGATTATCAAAAAGCCACATTTTAAAAATGGCAGCACCAACATTTCTGTTCTTGAAGTCGGAATTGATTCTATGCAACATTTTTTTCCCTTTTTTGTTTTGTTTTTGGTGTTACCGGCTGTCACTGATCCGTGTTGGGTGGTACAGGGCAGAGGCACTTAAGCTGATTTTTCAAGGAGAAAGTCCTCAACAGCTTTCTGTGTTTTTACCCTGTTGTGGCGCTTCAGAGCGCAGGACCTCTCATGTGGGTGAAATAAGAGGACCATCCTTTTGTCATCTGACTGCCCTTGCAGACAGAAAGCCACATCATCGGGACTTTTTGGTGCATGTCAAGCCCTTCTGTCAGTTTGCTGCTCTGTGGCTCAAAGACGTCAGCTGGTGTTTGAAATCTTAACAGATTATCAAAGATTAATCTAATCTAGATGCTTCGAGGGAAGCTGCTGGACGACGTGATAACACTGTACTATTGATGTTGTATAAATGGAGAGAAAGACTTATTTTAAATCTTGTAAATAGAAAATGTACAAAGGTGAAAGCAAGACAAATATAAAAAACTGAAGATCATTCTGAGATGTAGAGAAATTAATCTGTATATTGTTGAATAAATATTGTGCCGTAAAGGATATTTAAGAGTCAGCCTGTTTTTTTATGTGGAAGTGGTTAAATACAATTACTGCTCATCATAGTCATCACCAAGCAATTGCTCTCAGTTTAGTTTCAACAAACTTTAACTTGGTGACTGATCAAAAATGTCAGAGGGTTGAGAAATAAAGACTTTCTTACAGACCTAAAGTCAGAATTCAAACAGTTGTTAATCTTTCTTACCAATAGCTAGACAATATATAGTGAATAAGCTAGAATGATAAACAAACGAAAAATACAAAACGTGTCTGGTTCCCTTTTTTTAAAGTGAGGTTTGCTTTTTTGTCTACTTGGATTATAAACAATTATGGCATTATATATTTACCTATACATTAGGGAATAATCAACATTTTCATTAAAAACAATAGATGATTGCAACCCATGTAATAATATTGGCATAATTGAAAATAAATCTGAAGTGAGAACCAGAAGAATCATATCATTCATATTAATCAATTAAATGTAATTGTTACTGTTTTCAAAGTCAATCTGATAGTTTTTTTTGGTAATATATACACTGTGAGTAAGCACTCAAATACTTCACTGCAGAAATACCTGTGATCAGTGGTGATGTGCTGACACCTAGTGGTTGTAATGCAAAACAACATACCATTTCAAGGTAAATTAGTTGAACCTACGAATGAAATTATTCTTGCTAGTTATGAAAAAATGATTAATATAACAGTTGTCTCTGCTATGAATTACCACTGTATCCGTAATATACTCTTACTGTGGATGTTGAATTCTAGCAGAAAAAGTCAATCATTTTAATATTTGTATTGTATCAGGTGTTGTTACAAAGCCACTTCCCCCTTAAACATGTCATGAACAACAAACTGCCTCCTCCACCTCTGACCCCTTTTACTAGAACATACTTCAGCTTTTACAACAGGGGCTTAACTTAATGGAGTCAAACATTACATTTAAAAAAGACTGACTTATTCAGCTCTAAAGTATAGTCTAGAAGAGAATTTCCAAAATAGTGTTTCTAGTAGAGAATTCATTTTTGAAGAGGTCACAAGATACTTTTTTTTGCTTCAAAACCCCCATATGAACATGTAAGAAGTAAATGACAACTGGGCATAGGGCCTACTTCATCTGATGATGAATAACATGGGCTACAATTAAAGGTGCAAGAGCTCTACTAAAGAACATTGTGGTAAGATTTGTTGTTTGAATTCTCAAATGCATAACAAATTATTAAACAAACAAACCAGCTGATTTATTATAGTTAATTTACTACTAAACTAGAACCATGCTAACTTAACCTCCTGAAGCTAAAACCAGTTAGCAACCACGATGGTTTCGCATGCTAGCATGCTAACATTAGCAGTAAAGTGAGCACTAAACACCTAATGACAACCATGACTTGTGTTGTGAACAGCTTCTAAATTCAACTTTTACAGGATTGTTAAATGAACTGCTGTTTCCATTGACATGAATGAGCTCCACTTTGTTCTAAATACTTTTTTCAAAACAAGTCTACTGGTTTTTAGTATGATTAACTGCTAAAAACAATCAGTTATCATACTTGCTAAAAAAGGCTTCCTGGACACTTGTCCCTTTTTGTACTGAATTAACAGCACTGTTTACATATAATTGTAATCCATAAATACCTGAACTGACAGGCACACAAACTATTAAACAAAGACACTGTGTTAGTTTAAATGAATGACAACAATACACACAACAATATTATAGCTACTAGAGCCAATCAGAGCTCCACACAGTAACAAGATCCCTAGTTGAACACTCTGGAGGTGTCACCTGGTAACCATAGGCTCTAACGCCTGGCAAAGGACATGAGACAAATCACAAACACACCTGAAAGTGTGTGTTTTGTTAAGTTAGACACCAGAAACTTCATGTTGGTTCTTCTATCATTTATCCAACTGGAAGGAGGACCAGACGGCAATAAAAAGGGTGATGTTAACTGTCAATTATACCAATAATGTTTATTTTAACCAATGTTTGCAAAATGAGTGATGAAAACGGTGACTGTAATCTATATCAGAATACCTTTATTAGTCCCACAGAGAGGACATTTACATTGAAATGTGTGCACATCATTCTCAAACATGTCAATACAAATGTGCTCATGTTTTTTAATCTATATAACACTCCTTCAGAATCGGAATCAGAATACCTTTATTAGTTCCACAGAGGGGAAATGTACATTGTTACAGCAGAAAAGAGCCAAAGACAGCTTAATGTCTTTTTAGTTTGGTTGTAATGTGAGGACTGACTGGACAGCAGATTGAGCAGAAGAGGTTAATATGGTTTTGAGAGGGTGGAGCCATTAAATAGTGCAACATAACAAGGCTTTCACAGCCTCTCCACACAGTTGACATCATGAAGGATGTACTGTCTCTGCAGGATGTGATGACTGAATCAACGGGTTAGTGTAGACTTTAAATATGTGGAATTAGGTGTAGGTTCTTAATTTGAAAAAAATCTATTTGATGGAATGGAAAGCTGTGATTCCAGGGGCCTGGGTGGATGAAGTTGAGAGAATGCAGGTCACATGACAGTAAGATAAAGGCTTATGTCAGGATACTAAAGTCCCAGGCTCTCCAAGTGTTATAGATTAGGAACCATTAACTGACAAGCTGCACACTCTGGCACCTGTCTCTTCAGACTTCCACCAAAAGAAGCTCTTCTTCCAAGAGGATGATTTCAGCTAAAAAAATTTCTTTTACTTCCTCAGAAATGTTGTCTAAATTAGAGAATAAGGTTCACCCACAGCAAATTATCCCGGAGCTGCGGCACGACAAATATGACATGAACCGGATGGTTAGTCGAATGAAAAGGGTGAGTGTTTGCATGTCACATTACTATTATACTACTACACAACACATTTGATGCATTTTAATAATAATAGTTATTTAATATGATAATGTGTTTTGTAAGTGAAATCGTTATCTGAAAAATAACTGGTGTAGTAGAGAGGACAATATATCACTCAGTGGAATAGATGTAAAGTAAATGAAAATAAAAAGACTGGCAAAGTATCTCAAACCTCAAATATGTACTTTCCAATGCCGGATAATTTTAAGTTATAATAAGTAAGTTTACAATAACAACGCATATTTTTTTTTACTGTGATTAACAATCTACAACATTTTTTATTTCTAAATTGGGTGTGTAATTAATCTGCTCGCAGAAATGCGGTATCTATTGATCCAGAGCTGGCACAGGGCCACTTTCTGTCCCGTTTGTTTAGTCGGGTTTCAGCAGCCTGCTCTTCTTTAGCTCCGCTCTGACATCACTGATGCAGTGCTGAGCGCGTCCAGCACCCACAGTCCTGACTGCAGAGCCTCCTCTCTCCTGTCAGGCTGTCAGCTCTCAGCCTGAGGCAAATCTGTGAAGCTTGGCCCCCCCATGTTGCATCCAGGATGGAGGACGCTGAGGTGGAGGGACATCCGGTTCATTCTCTGGCAATCAGCACAGCCAGACCCACTAAGCATCTCTCTCCCTCCCCTTCTTTCCAGCGCTGTGCCTTTACCTCCTGGACCAGGGAGAATATACACAAGAAGGAATGCTGCTTCTATGAAAAGGGTGTCAGGTAGGATCAGCTGCTCTGTGCTCTGGTGGTGATGAAAGTCTTTAAACTGACCTTGCTATTTGCTGCTGCTGCTCAGTACAGACATACTGCAGCATCTCTGTTGTGCGTATGTGAGAGGAGGCGTTGCCTTTAACCACCCTGAGGGCAGTTGTGTATTGCTATGTTAACTTAATCTGTCAGTTGTCAAACTGTGCTTCTGCATGGAGACATTACAAGCATTCGCTCTCGTTTCTCCGTTAGAGAGGACATATGTAAGTGCGGCTACTCAAAAATCGAACATAATGATGAAGCCATCAAACCAGAGGACTTCACTGGCGAATCATGGCACAAACACAGACATCTCCATGAAGTGCCCACAGACGCTTTTGGGGACATCAGCTTTGGTGGTTTGGGACAAAAGACGGGCAAGGTGAAACTATCCTATCTTTCCACTTTAATAAACTTACATGCTTGCCTGTTTGTCTTCATTCTCGCCTTTTTGTCTATGTTTCATTCTCAGTATATGCGAGTGTCAACAGACACCAACCCAGAAATCCTGTACCAGTTACTGACTGAACAGTGGAGACTGTCCCCTCCCAACCTGCTGATCTCAGTGACCGGGGGGGCTAAAAACTTCTACCTGAAGGCTCGTCTTAACAACATGTTCAACAGAGGTCTTATCAAAGTGGCCCAGACAACAGGTGAGCCTCATATGTAAAGGGCTACCAATGATTAGCCAGAATATCGGCGAATGTATGTGTTTTATGAACATGTGTAGTTATGGAGTTTGGGCGTATGCCTGTGATAAAATATGCTGTATATGACTGAAAGGTTCACTCCTCCTGCCCAAACTAGTGCTATTAAAAGTGCAGTTATCTCCTTCACTAATCTTACTGACAGTTTACCATTTCATACTGCTTAGGTTTAACTCGATTTTAAATGTATAGTGTGTCTACTGTATGTATAACAGTCTGTAGCAATGCAGCAAAACAAGAAAAACGAATTAGAATTTACACGAAAAATATTGCTCTTACTTGAGTTTATTTTTCCTTTCCTTCCTTAGTCTCATCTGACATCTACAGTGGGGCAAAAAAGTATTTAGTCAGCCACCAATTGTGCAAGTTCTCCCACTTAAAAAGATGAGAGAGGCCTGTAATTTTCATCCTAGACAAAATGAGAAAATAAAATCCAGAAAATCAAATTGTCTGATTTTTAAATAATTTATTTGCCAATTATGGTGGAAAATTTGTATTTGGTCAATAACAAAAGTTCATCTCAATACTTTGTTATATTCCCTTTGTTGGCAATGACAGAGGTCAAACGTTTTCTGTAAGTCTTCACAAGGTTCTCACACATTGTTGCTGGTATTTTGGCCCATTCCTCCATGCAGATCTCCTCTAGAGCAGTGATGTTTTGGGGCTGTCGCTGGGCAACACAGACTTTCAATTCCCTCCAAAGATTTTCTAGGGTTGAGATCTGGAGACTGGCTAGGCTACTCCAGGACCTTGAAATGTTTCTTACAAAGCCACTCCTTCGTTGCCCGGGCGGTGTGTTTGGGATCATTGTCATGCTGAAAGACCCAGCCACGTTTCATCTTCAATGCCCTTGCTGATGGAAGGAGGTTGTCACTCAAAATCTCACGATACATGGCCCCATTCATTCTTTCCTTTACACGGATCAGTCGTCCTGGTCCCTTTGCAGAAAACAGCCCCAAAGCATGATGTTTCCACCCCCATGTTTCACAGTAGGTATGGTGTTCTTTGGATGCAACTCAGCATTCTTTCTCCTCCAAACACGTCTAGTTGAGTTTTTACCAAAAAGTTCTATTTTGGTTTCACCGTTCTTGTGATAATTTTGACCCCACGGGGTGAGATCTTGCGTGGAGCCCCAGATCGAGGGAGATTATCAGTGGTCTTGTATGTCTTCCATTTTCTAATAATTGCTCCCACAGTTGATTTCTTCACACCAAGCTGCTTACCTATTGCAGATTCAGTCTTCCCAGCCTGGTGCAGGTCTACAATTTTGTTTCTGGTGTCCTTTGACAGCTCTTTGGTCTTGGCCATAGTTGAGGTATACCTAGGATGAAAATTACAGACCTCTCTCATCTTTTTAAGTGGGAGACTAAATACTTTTTTTCCCCACTGTATCATGTATACATTTTTTACCAATATTGTTCAGCTAGCTGATTATGGAAAAAGACATGATTATGGCAAAACTTAACTTAAATAATAATCACTATTATGGGTCCATAAAACATTTATTCAGCACTTCTGAATGCATACAGTACATTCATTCCAAGTCAAGTGCATTTTCTTTTCTCTGTAGGATAACTAGAACAAAGTGCATTCAGAACAAAGCCAAGGTGCTTTAAAATAAACATCTAGGCCAGTAGGCCTACAACAAACTAGTGTAAATAAAGACTGTGACAGCCAGGCCTTCAACAACAACAAATGCACCTATACATTTGGTAACCTAACGTGTTGTTGTGATGACGTAATCAAAACACGGCGACAAGCACGCCGCGCGACCATGCTCGCAGCTGGCTCACAGCCAACATGTCTGCCGCTTGGAGATATTTCAAAATATCAGAGAAAGAGGCGCGGATTGCGATTTGTAAAACGTGTTCAGCTGACATTTCTGGAGGGGGTGTAACTGCAAAGACTTTCACCACTTCGGGATTACTCCACCACTTGAAATCAAAACACCCGGACAAATATGCGGAGTATGATCAACGTAACCCTGTTCTCTGACATTCGGTGATATTTTTTNTTTCCGATTCTTCTAATAAATTGCTCCCACAGTTGATTTCCTTCACACCGAACGTGCCTGCTTACCTAACTTGCAGAGCAGCTCTTCCAGCCCTGGTGCGAGGTCTAGCAATTTTGTTTCTGGTGTCCTTTGACAGCTCTTTGGTCTTGGCCATAGTTGAGGTATACTTAGGATGAAAATTACAGGCCTCTCTCATCTTTTTAAGTGGGAGAACTTGCACAATTGTTGACTGACTAAATACTTTTTTGCCCCACTGTTTACAATTAGGCTAACAATGCAAAACAAATTGGCAATTTCTGCACAGTATTTGGTCCTTGTCCACATACTTTGGTGTCCTGTTTCCTGGTTTGGCCCAGGCCTCTTAGGGACATTTGAATGCTTCAGCAAAGGTTAAATAGCACCCATGTTGTATTTAGGAGCATGGATCATCACCGGTGGTACGCACACAGGTGTGATGAAGCATGTAGGGAAGGCTGTGAGGGACTACGCCCTCAGCAGCTCCACGCAGGGCCAGATTGTGGCTATCGGAGTGGCAACGTGGGGAACCATTCACAACAGGGACGCTTTGGTGCATCCAGAGGTAAGAAAAAACACAATCACACATTTTTACTATGGCGAGAATCATCACCTGCAAAACATATCTGTTGTTTTTCCTGCCTTTCTTTCTCCTTTTCCCTTTTTTCTCGTCTGCAGGGTTGTTTCCCAGCCCATTATGAGCTGGACATCAAGGGCCAGGGTCGACTCTCCTGCCTCGATAACAACCACACCCACTTCCTGCTGGTGGACGATGGGACCCAGGGAAATTATGGAGTGGAGATTGAGCTGCGTAGCTGTCTGGAGAAATGCATCTCCGGGAAACGTCTTGGAAACAAAGGTTACAAATAGCTGATGTAGCATCTGCAAAGGCATCAAGACAACATCTCAAATCTGATTGTATTCTGTGCTGCTTTTAATATTGATTTTCTTAACGTCTAATTTTCAGAAAGTGGCGTGACAATCCCGGTAGTGTGTGTGGTTTTGGATGGAGGAACAGGCACTCTAAACGTGAGTCATCGGTTCTCTCTCTCCGTCTTTCTCAGTGTATCTGACCCTGTCTCGCTCGCTCTAATCTGAATATCTTGTGTTTCTCGTCTCAGACCATCTATAATGCCATGCTGAATGGTACACCATGTGTGATCCTGGAGGGCTCGGGGAGAATAGCCGATGTGATCGCCCAGGTGGCAGCTCTGTCAGTGACCCGGGTCACCATCGCCCTCATCCACCAGTTAATGAAAAAGTTCTTTGGCCAAGAGTATGATAAGTTCCCCGACCTCAGGATCATAGAATGGACCAAGAAGGTAATTGAACAAACTGTCAACCTGAATAATTAAATCTCCGTGTATGTCTCTGTAAGTATCTTAATTTATAATTACCGTAGCTGAAACTTAAGAGAACACAATTCTTTGGGACCTTGTCTGTACCAACAATCAATGGCAGTCCATCCCATTTCAGTCCTAAAAATGTTGCCCTCATATTAGGACTAGAAGAAAAAAGTCAAAAGATCATCATAATTACTAAGCATTATCCACTAGAGAAATCATCCAATCAGTGTTGAGACATTTCAGCCTGGATAAAGTGACTGACAAACAGCATTGCTTGCATCTGATGATCATGGTTGCTGTGGTTTGTAGCGTTTAGCTTTAAAGGTCCCATATTGTGCAAAATGCAATTTTTAATGTATTTTATACATAAGTATAGCCCCAAGTGTGTAAGGAGACTCACAAAGTGTCAGAAAATACAACCCTCTCTTTTTTCCTCCTTACCCACATCTCTAAAAACGGTGGTACAGGGCTGAAATAGAGGGGTATGAGTCATGGCTACAATGGTTGATTGATTGGTATTCTGAGCAAAACACTTCAGAGACATGTTTTGTGTCTATATGGCCCTATAATATATTGTTCAAATATAGTATAATATGGGACGCCATTGGCTCAATTGTAGTTCCTTTACTGTTTCCTGTTCTCTAACAATAGAGTCTTAAAAACATCAAGGAGCCGGTTTACCTCCCATCTCAGGCTACCAGTTGATTTTAGAATGTAAATTATGAGCCTTATGAGCCCCTAATGTCCTCTTTCAAGGGTCTTCTGGCTGTTCCTTGGTCCAGGTTTGATATGAAACCCTACATGTACATATTGTGTACTGTCTCCTTTCTTTGCCAGATTCAGGACATCATCAGGATGCCTCACTTGCTAACCATATTCAGAATTAGTGAGGACAATCACGGGGATGTGGACGTGGCTATTCTTCAAGCGCTACTTAAAGGTAAGGATTTGGTTCTTCCGAAGATGCTGAGCACAAGACTGGAAAGACTGCAGGCATTCAACACAGCCTCAAGTTAAAAGGCGATAAGGCTTAGTACCAAACCAGCTCTTAGCAAGTATAATGTTGCTTCACAGAAGACTAATCCAATGGACTGTGGTATCAAATGTGCCGAGATCCAAAACCGAAACAATTATTTGTGTAGAAATGTTCACTTCAATGGATTTTATATACAGACAGACATTGATAGCCATACTTAATCTGTTCCTAAGAAATACGCATGGTAAGTGTATTGATCCTAATGCTGGTATGGAGGAAGACCAATGCCCATTAAGAGAAGGCTTAATGCCTATTGGTATAAAAGCATGATGAGCCAGCTTTAAGTGTACTTAAAGTGATTTCATGTCACTGGACATACACTGAGCATTCACATCATGATGTCTCAGCATACTATAGCTAAGCTGCGTTGTCTGAGGTTTCCATCTCTGGATTAATTCAAATGCATTTCCAGGCAGTTGTCTTGCTCACTCAGCGAGGAAAAATTAGTCTTTTATTGTTGTCACATACAAGTTGTATCTCTGTTTTGGAATAAAGCCTTGCTACCTGCTGCTTACCTACTTAGTGTTACCCCAGGTTACCACACCAACAATTGGCTGATACATGATTTGATTTGATGATCGAGAAAAAAATCTGGGAGTCAAATATCAACACTAGTTTTCAAGTTTGTGCTCAATTTATTGCTTTTCTCAATATATTTTCCCCCAATATGTTGCTAATAGAACAAATATATTTGGGTTTTTGACAGTTTTTCCGACCAAAAAAAAGAACTCTTTGTATATCAACATTGTTGGAAGTTATAGTTTTAATAATTTTACGACAACATATAGACTAAGTTTGATTTTTAAACTGTAAAGTAGAGTGCCTTGATTGGATAGAGTGGATGATCCAACTGCAGAGAGACCTTGTAACAAAATGGTTTTATTTCTCCAGCATTCAATCAGTAATTGAGTGTCACATTCTTTGCCTTGTGTCACTATGAATTCTCCACCTCAGCCTCGAGGGCCAGTGAGTCGCTTGGCACCGAGTCCTGGAAGAGGCAGCTGGAGCTGGCTATAGCCTGGAACCGAGTGGACATAGCTGAGACTGAGATCTTCACTGAGGAGAGGCAGTGGAAGGTAGGTTCATGTTAGGAAAATATCACTTGTAACCAGCTTGAGTTTCAATAATCAGGATACATTTATTTGTTATCCTTGCAAGAATGGAAGTAGTCATCACATACAGAGCATATGGGACAACTACTTCCCCGAACAGTGTCCTTCAGATGATTTATATACAAGAGAGGGTTTTATTCAGTCACAAGATACATGAATACCGGTTCAAAGCAGTATTCTAGTTCAGTTTAGCTAAGACCCACATGAGCAATAAACATGACAGTCATATGTCTATCTCCATAGAGGCTGAATCATCATGTTAATCGTTGTCACATAGCTATCATAATAATAATAATAATAATAGCCAGGACTTATATAGCGCCTGTCATGGGACCCAAGGTCGCTTTACAAGGAAGAACAGGGCAAAACAAACATAACAAAACAAAAGACAACCAGTCAGACAGACAAAAACAACAAATAGATTAGGGGCCAAAGGCCTTGGTGAACAGATGGGTCTTGAGGGCCCTTTTGAAGGCGTCAAGCGTGGGGATGTTGCGGATCTCCGCAGGGAGAGCGATCCAGAGGTGCCACAACCATGAGCTCTGTTTTCCTGCTGTTTAGTTTGAGATAGTTGCATGACATCCATGCTTTGATGTCATGCAGGCAGCTGATGAGAGACTGAGGGGGGAGCTGGGAGGATGGAGTGGTGCTGAGATACAGTTGGGTATCATCAGCGTAACATTGGAAATTGAGTCCATGATGTCGAATGATCTGGCCGAGGGGGAGCATGTAAATGGTGAACAGGAGGGGGCCAAGCACAGAGCCCTGGGGTACACCGTGGTGGACTGGGGCCGGGGGTGAATTTGAGCTGTTGATGGAGACAAACTGTTTCCTGTTTTGGAGGTAGGATGTGAACCAAGACAGTGCTGTGCCAGTGATACCTAGGAGGTCTGAGAGGCGGGTGAGGAGGATGTTGTGAGACATGGTGTCAAACGCTGCAGAGGTCCAGGAGGATGAGGATCATATGCCTAAAACAATGTGTCCTGACGCTCTTCTAATCTAGGTGATCATACTTCTGGTTACATACACAGCTACGCAGGTCCTTTGTTATCATGGGCTACTCTGATATTGGAAGAGTACATTCTGTATTTTTCCAACTTATAGTATCATAAAAGGTAGTTTTTTTTCCCATGTTGCTATCCAAGTCACTTTACATAATTGTCCAATTCAATCAATCAATCAATCAATCAACAACTTTATTAATCCTGCAAGGGGCAATTGGTTATGAACAGCAGCTTATGTCATGTACACAGGCAGGAACATACAAGAAGAAAACACACAGATACACCCGGGAGTACAGATGTGGATAATTCCAATTTACACTATAAATAGTTCATAGCATCACAATAATAAATAAATAATCAAGTTAAAAGCCTTTCAACAATTCTGAGCAACATTCCCTGCTGATGATGAGGCATTAAAGCGGAAGTGTGTTTCTCTGTGTTCTCCTGCCTTGCTCCCATGCAGTCCAGTGACCTCCACTGGGCCATGTTCTCGGCCCTGGTTGGCAACAAGCCTGAGTTTGTGAGTCTACTGCTGGAGAACGGCGTGAGTCTGAGGGACTTCCTGCTGGACGAGGAGACCCTGTGTGAGCTTTACAAACAGCTGCCATCCTGCATGTTCCTCCGCAAGCTGGCCAAGCGGGTCCACAACGCTCACAGGAAGAAGGCGTTCGGCATGAGGCATCGGGTTCGATCGGGACAAGGAGAAATGGTCTCCTTGACTCATGTGTCTGATGAGGTGCGCCGCCTGCTGGGCAGCTTCACCCAGGCCCTCTACCTTCCCTCCAACATGACGTACCACTTCAACATGTGTCTGGAAGATACGTCAGCATCAGTGAGTGATTATTGTTATGTAAAATTGAATTGAGTTTAACACTGAAAAATAGGTGTTTCTTACAAGTTGCTGGGGTCATGTCCTCTCTATTCACCCTGGTAACAGTGTTTTATTGCACTGTGAGGATTTTAATTCTGTAATTAGAATACAAAGAAAAGGGGGGTATTTCTGGATTTCAGTATTTCTTCAACAAATCAAGGTCTACGGACTGAAATGTTGTGTCATTAAAACAATTCATGCTTCTTTTGACTTGCCTTGACACGCCTGTTTACAATAACATCGAAGATTTGATTCTATTAGTTTAAAAAAGTCGAGACATTTAAAAAACTTAAAGTCCAACAAATGCTTTTTTTCCACCAGAAAAGTCATCAGGGAGTTAGATCTTCACTTTGGGATGTTACATTTACAGGAGGTATAATTAAACATTTAGCTAAGAAATCGATATTGGTGCCTTAAGAGGGCTTGGGAGGATTTGGACTCAAGATATATTTCCCTACCCTTCAAGCAGGTTGTTAATGCAACATATTCCTTCACTTTTTACCTAGCTGTCTAAAAACTCGACATCTTCTCAAGCTCCGCTAAAGGAGGACAGTCCTGACGCGCAGAGGGACCCGGGCAGAGACATTTTCCTGTGGGCTGTCGTCCAGAACAACAGGGAGCTGGCTGAGATCGCCTGGGAGCAGGTGATCAAACACACATACAGACAAAGTTTTAGAAAAACAATAGATAAATAACTGTGTATCTCTATGTGCGCAGTGTACAGACTGCATGTCGGCTGCGCTGGCCGCCAGTAAGATCCTGAAGACGATGTCAGCTGAAGGAATGGATGCGGACGAGGCAGAGGACATGAAGAAGCTCGCCAATCACTATGAGAAACACGCCATTGGTATAACACTACAGACATGATGAGTGGCTTGAATAAAGATGTTACAAGTTGAGCATGTGTCTGCTTTTGTGTGTGTTTCCCAGGTGTGTTCAATGAGTGCCACAACTGGGACGAAGAGCGGGCTCAGAAGCTGTTGTTTCGTGCGTCTCCGTCTTGGGGAAGGACGACGTGCCTCAGGCTGGCTCTGGAGGCGGACGATAAAAGCTTTGTAGCTCAGTCTGGAGTTCAGGTACACTTTTATAAGGGATTTATATATATTCTTTCAACCGTGTCTTAAAATCTTAAGACTTCTACCTTTTGTTTGCACTGTTACGTAGAAGATTAAAATGCAAATCCACACACTTTGTTGAACACAAAACTGGTTTGAATCTAATTATTTTGAACAGGAAATTGGTATAGGGTAACCATGAAATACACTAAAACAATAAATACAAAACACACCACCAAAATTGCATTTAACCAGACCTAAAATACAAAATCAAAGAAATGCATCCTAATGGACAGAAATACACAACTTATATCAACAGACCTATTAAAAAATACTTCATCGATATATATAACCAAATCTACAAAGAGTATTAAAACATGTAAATATTTTCAAAAGAGAAAAAAAAAAGAAAAGCTTGATACAATACGGTCACTAAATGGACTCTAAATAACCCCAATGAACAATCACAATCAATCACACCTTGAACTTTATGTATATATGTCATGATGTATGTATTTGCCCTGTGCTGTGTATTGTACTTTTTATTGTCTGTTTACTGTATGTTGAATTGTATGGAACAAGCTGTAATAATCTACACTGAACACGAATTCCACCAGCTTGGCTGTGTGGTCATTAAAGATTCTAATCTAATCTAATACTACTTCATATATACACAAATTACTTGTGTATTGACTGTCTTTCAGGGTAATTACACCAATTACACACTTAATGCTGATTTTAATGAACAGAAACAGAACAAACAAAAACCACAACAATACATAACTGACTACAAAATGTTTTAGAGTAGAACAAGTTGAAAAACTGTGATCAGTGATTTAAACCTGATGAAAGAGACTTTAATTAAACACCCATATATGGTTCATATCTGATAACATATCTGTCCTGAAGGCCTTCCTGACACAGATCTGGTGCGGTGAGCTTTCAGTGGACAACCCGGTGTGGAGGGTGCTCCTCTGCATGGTCTTCTTCCCTCTGATCTACACCGGCTTCCTGGTTTACAGGTGAGCCCTAACCATAGACTGTGTATATATATATATATATATACAAATTCCTAACATGTGAAACGGAAAGTGCAGTCCTCCTGTCAATGATGGTTCTGCTTAAACAACAACCAAGACATCTAAGCTTCATTATGTTCCCATATTAACCTGAGATAATAATGCAGTGGTTAAATGATGATTAGATAAAGTAAAATGCTTAATATGTCCCTTGCTTTATCACAAGAATCAAATTCATATCAGTGTCATAAGGGACTTTCAGAAGTTAAGGCCGCCTAATCAAGAGTTGTATGAAAGCCTGTCCAGAAGATCTGTAGCAGGAAAGTCAGTACATTGTAGTAAAAACACTATGTATATACAGTAATACCAAATCAATTAAGTTCATCATAGATGCAAACATTTGGAGTAATATTGTAGTGGTTTAATTATTTAAAAGAACTCGTCTTTGCATTTGTATATGTATCTCTGCCATGCACAACTAAGGTTTTTAGTTTTTTAATATTTTGTTTTGTAAATCTACTAACCTTTTCTACCGCTTGTTGGGCATCTATAGCGATGTTAACAAGTGGTAGGTTTTCTTAATGAGTTATTATTCTGACTAGACGCGATGAAGTAATTCAGAGAGAAGCTGAGATGAACGAAGAAATCAAGACAGTGGAGAGTGTAACGGGAAGTGTACTTCGAACAAGCACTCGCAGTCTGTGAGTAACAAGTCGCCTTTCAACACATTAGAAGCAAATGATGAATACAAACAACGTTTTTTTTATGACTGTGTGGCAATTTCCTGACTGTATTTCACATGTAGGGGAAAGCAGTACATGTCTTTGACCCCTCGACCTCTGTGCCCACAGCGACTCCTCCGGCCTGCAGCGGCAGAAGCCTCTGGGCAGATGGTCCAGGCTGCTCCACCTGTACAGCTCTGCGCAGGCCAAGTTCTACTTGAATATCGTGTCTTACTTTGCCTTCCTCTTCCTCTTTGCTGTGGTGCTGATGATCGACTTCCAGGCTACGCCCTCTAGTGGGGAGGTGCTGCTTTACATCTGGCTGCTCTCGCTGGTGTGTGAGGAGGTCAGACAGGTGAGAGAGAGCTGGGACATGTTTTACCTATGTATGCCTTATTCTAATAAATTATTATATTACTCACTACATTACTGAACTGTACACCACAGGCCAATTGTCTTAATGTAAGTAATAAACTGAGAACATTTGATCAATATGTCTATGGTTTAAATTATTGTACTTAATTACCTGTGTCTCTTGCAAAATATATTGCATTTTAAAATACAAACACTGAGGGGTGTGGTCTTATATCATACATATCTTGATTTATGTGGTATTTTCTTCCTAAAATCATGGCCAAAATAAATTTTTCGGATGTCATTATGACATTTTTCCCCAATTTTGGAGTGATGCAAAGAAATATCCAAATGTCCCTATGTAACGGGTCACAACCGTAAGTGACCTGTTATCGATCAGGTAACACAGCGAAGCATCTAGGTGTCTTTTCTGGCGTTTATTCTGAGAACAAAACAAAATATCCTCCTTAAATCCACGCTGCACATCCTCCGCAGCACTCACTTCAATGTCATCTTTAGTATTTATAGATTAAGAAATGAACAAGAAAATCTTATCAAGTAATCACACAAAAATACAAACTAGGGATGCACGATATTGGTTTTTTGAAACCGATACCGATAACTTCCTGCTTCTCAAGACCGATACCGATAACCGATAATAATAAAATATATATATATATATCTTGTATTGTATATTGTACCTGTAGTTTTTTCCTCGTTTTAGCCCTGGGGTCGTCTCTGGCAAACTTCTTGCCTTTTTCAAAAGCCTCGTCGATAGGTAAAAGCCCCGGTACCTTTGCAGCTGGCTTTGGATTCGCCGCTAGTTTAGCAGCGCAGGCGTCTTCGTACGCTTTTAACACACCATCGTAGCGATGGCGATGTTTCAGGTGACTAATCAGGTTGGAAGTATTATAGCTCGTTGCCTTTTTCCCTCCTCATGGAACTTCTGCATTGCATTTGTTAATACAAATAGCAAGCAAACTATCTAACTCTGAAACTTTGAAATAGTCCCATACTACCGACGACATGTTTGTTTACTGTCCTGGCTTCACGGCCGCACACCATTTACGTCACTGCCAGGCATGAGTTAGGGAGCGCTGGATTTGTGAAAAACTCCCCTCTTCCTTAACCACTAATACCACAGTACTGGCAAAACGGGAGGAGCCGAGTGAAAAACAAGCGCCCCTCATCCCAATCCACCCACACCGCAGTATTCTTTTCTTTTTTTTTACCCAAAAAATATATTGTATATTATCGGGGCTATTAATACTTTTATCGGGTTTATCGGGATGACGTCATAATTCCTAATATCGGACCGATAAATATCGGGCCGATAATTATCGTGCACCACTATTGAAAATAGTCCCCAACAACCACACAATGTGATCTGTTTAAGGAAGACCTTTTTCAACAAATAAACTCGGGCTGAAGAGGTCATTGATTCTACATATCTATTTATCTTGTTACAGTGTAGAGTGTATTCATGTATTTAGACTGGGCACTTTTATGGGGCGATGCATATGAGCCGCCCTGCCTGCAACAGGCTCAGGGTCAAAATGTTCTCGGATGTTTCCCATTGTCAAGTTAATGCTGTGTTTAAAGCCCAATTACGGCACCGCAGTCGCCCATGCTGAGAACTTGGCAGATTTCTGCTGCTGGCCGCTGAGCAGCCAGAGGATTATGTGTCGTGCTCAAGGGCACGCTGGCATTTGATTAAAGAATCAAATGCCAGCGTGCCCTTGAGCACGACACATAATCCTCTGGCTGCTCAGCGGCCAGCAGCAGAAATCTGCCAAGTTCTCAGCATGGGCGACTGCGGNTTTTGGAGTTAAATGCATCAATCTGCTGCATTTTGAGGAGAAAATAAAGAGACTAGATTTATGGGAATACCTATATGAAACAGAACTGTATACATTTCAATAATCATAAAATCATGGCCACAACCAATAACATACCATTTCCAATATGAAAAAACACTGAAATGTATTTATTTTTGGTTCATTTATAGTTGTGAGTGTGTCTGGGCTCCTGAATCAGCCTTTCCTGTCTCCCTCCTCTCCCCCCTGCTCCTCTTTGAGGCAGCAGCAAAGACTAGGTTTAGCTCTCAACAAGTTTTAAAAGTGTATATTACCTTTTTTCACCTACTTAACTTTTAATTTTTTTATTCATGTATATTTTACTAATCACTACCCCCTCAAATGGAAACATGTGTTTACATAAATGGTGACCAGCCCGTTTGAGACCCACTGAGAACTTAGACTAAGTTAACTATCTAAACACTCAGAGTCCTTTACCTCACCTGAGCTGAGGTTGTCCCGAGCTTGAATGACAGAGACCAATCAAGGGCTTTGATTTATGATCTGTATGACAGTGGTCATGTCGGCAGGCCACATCATGTAGACAGCCAGTCACTGTGTGAGGCAGGCCACTTGTGTGAGGCAGGCCACTTAACAGGCCAGGCCTGAAACCCCCCGGTCCTCCCGATGGCCAGTCCGGGACTGGGTATAGGAGGCGTAGAGCGAGGGATCATTGTCCACAAGTAAATCAATCGCAGATGGCGTGGTGTTCGCAGACAAAAATGGTCGCGAAATATACTTGGGCGGCCCAACCTCTTAAGCCCCACGGACCCGGTTCCGGGGCTGAAATCGCTTCATTTGCAGGAAACAACGTCTAATAAACTATGAATATTTTATATCCATATAACGGGAAAAAACTCATTTAACTGATCTTTTTCATTTTTTTTCCCAAAAAAAGCACACAATACTAACAGTGAGCCTCTGAATTAGCCCCGAGCGAAAAATGCTAACCTATTACTGCACAGAAAATCCCTCCTAGCTCCCTTATTACTTATCCTAGCTGCACGTCCAACACATCGTTTATGATCGTAAAGACACAGAATCTAACGGTGCCCACCTCAACACTGAAAGATAAAAACTCCCAACGTTATCAACAAAAACGTACATCAAAACAAGTGGCGCTAGGTAGCCCACAACACCAACGGCCCGTCCACACAGCGGCGTGCGTTGACGCTTGCCGGCGGGCGTGTCTGAAACTCGACCAACAACCAATCACATGAATCTCCCGCCCCTGACACACAAGCAGCGGTTTGATTGGCTAGAGCTTGTACTGGCATATGATTGGCATATATCCGATTGGCCCCGACGCCTTCTTGCCCGGGCCGCAAAAAGTGAACATGGCTCCAAACTTTTGGCAGCGAGCCACGGCCACTAATGCAGTCAGTCGAAAAGGACGTCACTAGCCATTCAAATGAAGTGAAGCGTTCAATCTTCCAGGGTTGTTGTGTTTTTTTTTTTGCGCCCATCTGTGTGGACGGGCCTACATGGCTTACCCTGTTTTGTTACCTTTGGTTTTCGGTCAAGAACGTCCTTCATTGGCATTAAACGATAACAAGGATGATAGTTAAACCATAGGTTAAATCCGATGTGGCTGTGTCCTTTGAAATCTGATAAATCTATAAGCAATAACAACTGCAAATTCCCGTTTCAAATAGTTAGTAGCATGCCATCTTTTATTCGTCTCGAATGCCTTCATTAATTTGCCGAAGACCCCATCCTTGTTAACCAGAGGTGTGCCGGACGATTCCCTTCGGAATTCTATTGTCTCTAAAGTCCAGAAAAGAGATGTCACATTGTCAAAAATCGAAGAAGGCGGGGGGGCCCCAGAGATAATAAGGGGTAATTTAGTATTTCTTCATATCCCCAAATGTTTCCCCTAGATATGTTAGGTTGTTTTGTCTTATATATTTTCTGTCCAATAATATGGTCAAATTATCACTGTTTTTTTGCAATCAACTTTGATACAGGGTACTTATTATATGTGTACTTGAATCCTAAAGCCGTTATTTTGCTTACCTCATCACCCAAGGTTACGTTTCACTAAAGTATTAGTTACACAAATATCTTTTGGACCGGACACTATAAATCTAATCAGTGGTTTTACCATCAGTCAATCGAATTTTTTCTTTTTAGCAATATTAAAAACATTATTATTTTTGATTTTTTCTG